GATAGGACGCTGGACATGGGATCAGGAAAATCTGAGTTCAACTCCTACCTCAAACATACCTGTAGGCATCAGTCAGTCAGTAAACATTGATTAGGCTCCTACTATGTGCCAGGTATTGTGCTAAGCACTGGCTCTGGACCCAGAGGAAGGAACTAGAGTCAAATCTCTCTTCTGACACTAGCTATGTGATCTTGAGCAATTCACTTAACCCCTCTGGGCCTCAGTTTCCTCATCTGTAAAATGAAGATTGGATTGGACTCTTTCCAGCTCTAATCCTATGAATTGGGCTGTGTGAGGAAGAGTTTCTCACAAGCCAGGGAGCTTCTGAGAGGCCAGCTCCAAATGATGGCTGGAAGTCTTCCAAGATGGTCATTGCTTTGGGGTTTCTATTGTCCAGCCAAGCTCCCAGATACAAGCCATCTGTAGAGACACTGAAACCAGAAGTGGAGAAGACCTGTGGTCAGGAGGAAGGGAGAGTCGGAGCGACAAGAGCAGAGGGAAGGTCAGTGCCTGGATCCAAGCACACATCCAGTCTTGGGGTTCTCATATATATTTCTTAAAATGGACACTTTGGGATGAGGAAATTGAGGTCCAGAGCAGTTAAGTGACTTCCCCACGGGCACATGGATGGTAATTATCAGGAGTAACACTTGAACCTAGGTCCTCTGACTTCTAGATCCAAAGCACTTGCATGCTGTACCATGCTGCCTATCTATATCTCTATCACCATCCATCTATCAATCTCTCTCTCTCTCTCTCTCTCTCTCTCTCTCTCTCTCTCTCTCTCTCTATCTATCTGTATCTATCAATCTACATTTATGTGTATCTTTCTATATCTACATCTATCTCCCTATATCTATCTCTCTATTTTTTATCTGTATCTGTCTACATCTATATCCACATCTCTCTCTCTATATATATATATATAGATAGATGTAGAGATAGATATGTGTGTATATGCCCTGTCCTCAAGGAACTTACATGTTATTGGGTAAAGTAAAGGGGCACATAGGAAATAAGAAGGATTCTGGGAATTAAACCCAGGTACTCGCATTTCACATCTTACTGCCCCTCCGTCGCCTCACTCTGCTCCTCCTCCCCTACTTTCATCCCCCTGGGCCTGCTTCCAATGACCCCTCCTCACCATGGCACAGAGCCACATTGGTGGGGAAGTGAGTGGAGGGGGGCATTAAGGGAAGGTAACATGATCTGCCTCCACCCCATCCCCAGCCATGACAAGAGGGACCCTCACAGAACACGTTTCTCTCCTTCCCAAGCTAGGAACAGGATTTTGTTTGGTAAAGGCTTACTTACTATGGTGACGAGGACTGTAAAAATAACTGATGAATAGAATGGAATTTAGCTCACCCTACCAGGAGCAAGTGGGTCCTCTGAGCCTTGGGGAGCAGGCGATTCACCATCTCTCCTTCAAGCAGAAATGGTGGTTCTGGTCACACTGGCAGAAGGACGACCTTCCCCGACCAGCAACCCGGGACCCAGTTTTAGACCATGACAAACAGTAGGATAGGAACTACTCCTCTGATTTCATTGATGCAGGAAAATCCCAAATGGGAAAATCCCTGTACCAATGCAGGTAGACACCTTCTCTGTAACTTATAGTCAGAGTGGCCTAAAACCCTGAAGGTTAAGTGACAAGCCAGGTCACAGAGCCATTGAAGTGGGGATTCAAGCTAGGTTTTTCTGGCTTTAGAGTTAGTTAAAGGGCAGCTAGGTGGCACAGTAGATACAGTCAGCAGGAACTGAGTTCAAATCTGGCCTCAGACACTTACCAGCTGTGTGACTCTGAGCAAGTCACTTAATCCCAATTACTTCCTCCCCCACTCCCCCGCCAAAAAAAAAAAGAAAAAAGAAAAATTAAAGATAGCTCTCTATTCATGGCCTGCTCTGCCTCTGCAAAGAATACATCTCTCAGATAACAATGGCTCTCTAAAAACAAAAACAAAAACAAAACAAAACAAAACATCCCATTCCAAAGTGAGTTTCACCAAATCCCAAGATCTCAGAGGTAGAAGGGCCATCAGCAGGGGCCATCAGGTCCAACTTGTACATGAACATAAATCCCCTCAACACCTTTATTGGCAAGTGGACATCTAGCCTCTGAAGGATAAGGTAGGAAGCAACTTTTGTTGTTTGGAGTTTCAGTCATGTCTGACTCTTTGTAACCTCATTTTGGGGTTTTCTTGGCAGAGATACTGGACTGGTGTGCCATTTCCTTCTCATTTTTACAGATAAGGAAACTGAGGTAAAGAGGGTGAAGTGACTTGCCCAGAGTCACATGAGTAGTAAATGTCTGAGGCCAGATTTGAACTCATTGAAATGAGTCTTCCTGATACCAAACTCAGCATTGTATCCACTATGCCACCTAGCTTCCCTGGAAACAACTTATAGTGTGGTATATTGGAAAAAGTCCTTGCTCTGGCATTGGAAGACTTGGGTTCAATCCTGACTTCACTACTTATTACCTCAGTGACCTCAGGCAAGCCATTAAAATTCCTTGAGAGTCATTTCCCATAAAATGGATTAAATGACCTCTGAGGTCCCTTCCAGGTCAAGATCTCTGACCCTATGATCTCACAAGGCTAGGATTCCTTCTACTTTAATGAGCTTTTCCTTTCATCAAGCCAAACTATGCCTCTATGCAACTGATAAGATTAGATCTAGGGCTAGAATAGATCCCATAAGTCATCTGGTCCAACCCCTCACTTTTACAGATGAGGAAACTGAGGCCCAGCACTCACACACAGTGATGGGATCGCTTTCACCCATTGATCCTGATTCTGCCCTTTAGGGCCAAACACAACAACTCCAATCCCTCTTCCACATGACCATCCTTCAACTACTTGAAGACATGTCCCCCACTCAGTGTTCTCTTCTCCAGGTTAAGCTGCCCTATTTCCTTCAGCCAAGACCTTCATTATCCTGATCGCTCTCCTCTGGATCTCTCCAGCTTATCAATAGCCTTTCTAAACTATGGTGGCCCAGAATGGTACACAGTCCTGCAGGTGGGATCTGACCAGGGCAGAGAACAGAGCACCCCTCACCTCCCAGGTTCCTGGGGGTCAGGCCTCTCTTAATGGAACTTGCCCTTCAACGTTGGTTAGATTGCCCAAGGAAATGGATACCTTATTAATCAACCATCACTAACGTACTCAACTTGGTAGGCCAACCATGACTTGGCCTCTCTTTTAGAAAGAAAGAGAAGGAGAAAGGAAGGAAGGGAGAAAGAGAGATAGTGAGAGAGAAAGAAAGAAAGGAGGGAAGGAAGGAAGGAAGGAAGGAAGGAAGGAAGAAAGGAAGGAAGGAAGGAAGGAAGGAAGGAGAAGAGAGAGAGAGAGAGAGAGAGAGAGAGAGAGAGAGAGAAAGAAAGAAAGAAAAAGAAAGAAAGAAAGAAAGAAAGAAAGAAAGAAAGAAAGAAAGAAAGAAAGAAAGAAATCTAAAATCCCAAAGATAAGGGTGATAGCTAGCATTTATAAAGCAGGCTCAAGGATTTGAAGCACCTTACATAATTTATCTCATTTGAACTGCACAACAGACCTCTGAGGAAAAGTATCACTGCCCCATTTTACAGAGGAGAAAAGTAAAAATTGTAGAGATTAAGTAACTTGCCCAGGGTCACACTGTTAGCATCAGAAGCCAAATTCAGAGCCAGGTTTTTCTGATTCACAATCACTCCTGATTCCTGAGCTGCAAACCACATTGCTTCTCCAAGGGAAAGATGACATTTAGGTGGGGTGAGGGAAATCCTTCTCACTGAATTTAATAAGCCTTTGTAAAATCACAAAGCCTGCTCATTTCTCTCTCTCTCTCTCTCTCTCTCTCTTCTCTCTCTCTCTCTCTCTCTCTCTCTCTCTCTCTCTCTCTCTCTCTCTCTCTGTCCTCCTACCTCCCATATTCCTATCCATCTATCCATCTCTCCCTCTCCCTCTTTCTCATCCTCTTTTTGTCCTTATATGTTTCCTTCACTAGGAGAGACAGACACATTGCCATTTTTCCCTCTTCTCAAAAAGATGTATAGAACTCAATCTCATCTATCTTTTCATGATTTTGAAAGAACAAATCCTCCCCCCAAAACAGGGGGAAAGTGTAATTTCCTTGTAAAAAAAAAGGCAAAAAAAAGTATTTATAATCCCTCTGCCATCTGGTAAGTTCTTTCGGAATGAAATTGAAGCAGAAAACACTCAGCAAAATTGGCACTGTTTACATGGCCCTTTCCACCAGACCAAATTCCCACCATACATATTTGGTACAGTACCTTCTATCCATCATATCAGCAACTGTGACCACAGGATACGTAAGAATACCAAGCAATTTTTAGCAACAGCTCCCTATTCCCCTGAGCCCTGGACACCATATGGTGTCAACTTTGTCTCTACTTCACCCCCACGAAATCAAGTCATTAACTTTCCTTTCATTTGCCAGAGCTGGTGCCAAAAGGAGAGCATTCATCAGCCGTGACTTATGGGAAGGAAGACAGCGAGGCCTCTACTGAACTCCAGCTTGAACAAGGTGCTGGGGCAGCTGGAAGAGCAGATGGGGAAGGCCCAGACAGTAGGATGGGAGATGCTTCAACTTACCTGCTAGATCAGGGGAGAGGAAGCTGTAGCCTTACAGCCACATGTGGCCTTCTAGATCCTGAAATGTGGCCTTTTGACTGAATCCAACTTTTATAGAACAAATCCTACAAAATTTGGATTCAGTCAAAAGGCTGCACTTAAGGACCTCGAAGGCACTTAAGGCTGCAGGTTCCCCATCTCTGTGCTTAATTCTCACCTAGAGACCTGAGAACCCCAAAGGGTCGATTATCAGAATGCAGAATTAAAATAATCTCTGCCTACTTATCTCTTGTGATAAGAAACACTGGCCTGGCTTCTAGGAGAGGCAGAAAAGATGGTGCTTAGAGATCCAGAAGTCCTGTTTCTGTTTCAGATTTGGTTCAGGGTTAGGAAAGAGAGAGTTAAAATATTTATTTTTTTTTTTACCTTTGCATTCTTGACATTCTGTGCAGCTCCATATCATCACTTCCCCGGAATCCTTTGGCAAAAGGATTGTTCTCGATCTTTAGTTGGGTGATCTGGAGGAGGGGAACAGAATGAGTCTGCAATAGATTGCTACAAAGCTACCCCATAACATGAGCTAACACGCACCATGGAAATTCAAGTGCTGGCAGCGGCAAACCAAATTAAGCCAATCACGTCAACGGGGCCCTCAGCTTTAGTGGATGCTTTGAAAAATGTCCACGGTCAGACTTCATTTCAAAGGGGAGGGGCAAGGGGGAGCCTGGATTTGTTTTCTGTTAATTGAATGCATATCCTTTGCATCCTTTCAGCTCAGTTCACTGACATCAGGTATTTCAGACACAATCGAGGCCCCCACACGATTTTTTTTAAATCTAACTCGTTGACATGTTCACTTCCCATTCAGCAGTGTGGCAATCTTCACTGTGACTCCAGATAATAAAAGGGCTGAGCTAGGTTTCCAGGGAAAGCAAATGGTCTCTCCTACAACTGCTTTGAGAATCCTAGGAAAGCAACAACAATAGAGGCCCCATAGTCTACACTGGCACTTTCTCAAATAGATTTTAAGCAAAATCATAGAATCGTGGATCCAGAGCTAGAAGAGATCTTAGAAGGGACCAACACTCTCATTTGACAGATGAGGAAACTGAAGCTCAGAAAAGTCAGGTGACTTGCCCAAAGACACAGTGGCAGGCAGAATTAAAAACCAAGTCTGCTCTCCCCAGACCCAGAATTTTTGTTCACCTCACTACTGATAATAGTGAGTTTCCTTGAACACTTCAAGGTGAGGTGAATGGCCCAGGTTCATACTTGGTTCAGAAGCAAGATTGAACCCAGCTTCCTTTAAGACTCAACTCAAATTTTCTGTTGTGTAAGAGGTCTGTCCTCCTCTCCACCATCCCCAGTGCTACTGCCTTCGCCCCGAGAGACTTTCCACTGACATCGTCTTATGTTCATTGCTATTTGCATGTTGTCTCTTCTGTTAGAATGGGAGCTCTTTGAGGACAGGCACAATGTATTTGCTTTGCTTGGTATCTCTGACTCTTAGCACAGTGCCTGGCACACAGTAAGCACTTAATAAATACTTGATGACAGACTGATAGATACTCTCTGAGGCTCTCTCTCAGGTACAGGATAGATTCTACACGTGTGTGTATATGTACATATATGCACATGTATATATATGTATGTGTGTGTTTCAATGCATAGATTTTCTATGTATGTATTTGTTTCAATGTGTATATATACCTATGTAAACATAAACACACACATAAAATCTATCCTGTGCCTGAAAGACAGCATGATGTAGTGTCAATCAGTCAGGCATATGCCAGACATCGTGCTAAAGGCAGAGATACCAAACGAAGGAAATACATACATACAGGCATGTGTATGTATGTATATATGCAAATATGCATACGTATCTACATGTACATGCACACACAGTGTTCAATAAGACATACATGACATGCATACCCATCTGTGCCAAATCATACATTCATTAAAATGGTCATTTCAAAAATAAAAACAACCCTATCAGCTGACATTGACAGTAAAGTACTTCACATTTTATTTGTTCCTCACAACAGCTCCATGAGAAATCAACCACTTTCACAAGTGAGAAGTTCAGAAGCTCACTAGCCAATTCTCACACTGCTACTAAGAATCAGAGGCAGAATTTCAACAGGCAAACAGAGTTAAGTGACTTGCTCAGGGTCACACAGCTAATGTCTGTGGCCAGATTTGAACAAAGGTATCTTTTTATTTATTTTTAGGCAATTGGGGTTAAGTGACTTGCCCAAGGTCACATAGCTAGTAAGTATCAAGTGTCTGGTCTGAGGCCAGATTTGAACTCAGGTCCTCCTGTCTTCAGGGTCAGTGCCCTACCCACTGTACCACCTAGCTGTCCCTGAATGAAGGTGTTCTTGACTCCAGGCCCAGCACTCTATCTACTAAACCACCTAGCTTCCCCAAAGCCTATTTTCAGGGGATCCAAAGTCCACAGGACAAGTAGAAACTGCCTTCCCCTCTTATGTTTTTGCCACAGTGAAATTCAAACTAGTTGCTCATAAATCATTGAAGGGAATGAGAGAAGCTCAGAAAGTTAAGTGACAATCACATCATTTTTAAATAGGAGAGGATTGGGGAGGGAAAAGAAGGTGGTTGGGAGATGAAGAATTCCCAAAGCACTACAAAATCACTGAAGCAGGATATTGGGAACTAAACTTTCAACTGTGAAACCTACAAAGGAGTAGCACTAAAAACACTTCTCCTTCCCCAGCTGACCCCTAAAGGAAGCAGAAAATTCAGGTTCAAATCCTCCCTGTCTGACATATGAAACCTGGTTCTTATCGAAGGAATTCATTTTCCAAGGAAGGCTCTTGTTAGGGTGACAAACTCTCGCTGTTTAAAACTAACAGAAGTGTGCAGACCATAGAACTGGGAGAGGTCTTAAAACTCATCTAGTTCTCCTACCTACCACCAGTACTGCTATTTTATACAGGAGAGAACTAGGCAAATCACTTAACCTGAGAGAAGTTAATTGACTTACCCAAGGTCACAAATGGAGCAAGTGACAGCCAGGAGACAACAAATTCTATACTAACAATCACAGGCTTGTAGTTCTAGTGCTAGAAGATCACTTAAGAACCATGGAGTCCAACAGCTTCATTTTACAGATGAGGAAACTGAGGCCCAGAGAAATTAAATAACTTGTTCAGGGTCACACTGATAGTATCAAAAGTGGGATTTCTTTACCCCCCCATCCACTACACCATGTGCCACCTCTCATAATAACAGCTGAAATTTCTATTGCATTATGAGGTCTGCAAAGCATTTTGCATGCATTGTTTCACATGAGCCTCCCAACAGCCCTTCGAGGAACGAAGTACAAGGGATTTTTATTACTACACCCATTTTATGGATGAGGAAACTGAGGCTCAATGGAGTTAAGCTGCTTGGATCACAGCCACACAGTTAATGTTTCCCTAGCTTTCTTATCCCTATCTTTTCTCTAAAGTTTGAGTCTGTTCAATCACATGTATATGTAATTTCCTTGAAAGGACAGATGGCTTCATTCTCTGTAGTTATATCCCCAGCACCTATCAGAGGACTTGGTGTATAATAAGTGCTTAACAATATGTATGTGGTTCATACGAGCCCTTTTACCTTATAAGCTTATATATATATATATATATATATATATATATATATATATATATATATATATATATATATATGTGTGTGTGTGTGTGTGTGTGTGTGTGTGTGTATGTATATACACACACATACTTATACACTTACATACACACACATATATCATACATATATACATATATGCATATATAGACCTATGAGTCTATATATGCACATCTATATAGTCACTGTGCATAGATAGATGTCAATTACACATGAAAAAAATGAAATGTACACATTTATGTTACCAATGCTTTTCAGATTGCCGTAAAGTACAGTTCCACCTTATACAGGCACCCTGCTCTCCTCATGTTCGATGACTTTTTAGAGACAGTGACACTCAATGGAGAGTAGTACTATATATTTGGAGGCAGAAAAACCTGGTTTGGAATCCCATCTGAGCCACTAATTTCATGACCCTGGTCAAATCTGGCTTAGCTTAAGCTCTCTGGACCTTAGTGTCCTAATCAGCAAAATTCGAATGACAATAGCAAACACCCTTCTTCCCCCACCACACACACACACACAGGGTCATTGTGAGAATCTGGCCAGCTTGGTATGTGGAGAGCTTCGCAAACCTTAATGAATTAAATAAATGGGAACTATTTTTGGTTATTATCTTGGCATCTTCTGCATGTGCGCACATGTTTTTATGTATCTGAACAGTACAGATGTCCATGTTCATGCCAAGTATACCACTGGAACTGGCCCCTCCTGCCCACAACACTAAACAACTCCCCCCCAACTGAGCCCCAAACCGGATATCCCAGGGAGAGAATGCAGGTTGGGGACTGGGAAAGGGGACAAATATAAATACCATGTCCAACTGGCAAGGCAGAGGTTGTAAAAATTAATGAGAATAATTGTTTCAAATTCTTACTTTTGAAAAGAATTCTCATGAGGGCAAAAAATCTTAGTTATTTCTCTGTATGGGGAGGAGGGGGCCATTTCCTGATTCCGACCAGAAAACTCAAACCTAATAAATATGAGCCAGTTACCCAATGACTCAGGCAGCAAGCAAGCCCTGGCCAACTGCAAAGGAAGTTAATTTAAGGGGGGGGGGATAAACCTGCTCGGCATACACCACCATTGTTGGACTAGTGAGGAAATGAAATGGCCACGTGACCTTTTTCTAAACACCTAAATATTTCTTGGGTTCAGTCCTAGAGCTTCTGACAACTTAGGGAAAACTTTATAAAACCCCACTTCAGGGTCAGCCTTACTAGGGGAAGATTCAGGTTTTACAATATCTTTTCAGGCTGTAAAGCATCTGGGGAAATAAGTTAATTCTCAACTCCCGCTGTGTTCCCAAGTAGAGGAGGAAGAGACTGAGTCATTTATCCCCAGTGCCTAGTGCTGTGCCTGGCATAGTAGTGCCTTCAAAAAGGTTTTTGATGGCTTGGTGGGCTCAAAGCAAGGGTTCTTCATCTTTTTATGGGTCAGGGACCCCCTGAGCAATGGACTCTCTTCTCAGAATAGTATTTCAAAATACATAAAATAAAATACATAGGATTACAAAGAAAACAATTATATTAAAATATAGCTATCAATATATAAAAAAACACACACATTCACAGAACTCAGGTTAAGAACTCATGGTAGTAGGAGTGGGAAAGGGATCTTAAATACTGTCTCATCTAATAACCTTCATTTTACAGAGAAGAAACTGAGGTCCAGAGAGCAAAGTAATGACTTATTCAGTGTCACACAAGTAGGCAATAACAGAGTTAAGATTTGAACCCAGTGCCTCTCTTCTCCAAATCAAAGCATCCTCTCACTTTACTGTGCTGGGCCTGCCATATGGACTAAGACATGGAATTTTTCACAGGCTCCATTGCCCTAATTGGCATAGCCAATCTATTTGACTTTAAAAAATGCAAACAAATGCCAAAACAGATGATTCAGTCCAACAATCTTTTAGACTTTCCCCTCACAGACTTAAATCTGGTCGAGTGCTAGACCTTAAGCTCTCTCTCACTCTAACACACACACACACACACACACACACACACACACACACACACACATACACACACACACACACTGTATTGAATTCACCTATCATTTGGCCAACTCATGCATTTGGAGCCTTCATGAGACACAAATGATATGATGTATGTCAATAAATGATATAAGGTATGTCAATTCAATTTGAGTCAACTGAGTTTAGTAAGCATTTGTGGAAGATCTACTATGTGCCAGAATCTGGGGCTACAAACACGAAAACTCAACAATCATTGGCCTCAAAAAGCTTACGTTCTACCAAAGGCAAACAACGTGTGCAGAGAAAAATCACTGCTAAAGAGATACAAAGGAGTTCCCAAGGGCTGGGGGAAGGATTCTTTGTAAACTTTAAAATGTAATTAAATGTTAGTTATTGTTACTGTTATAATTAAAGAGTTAAAGTGGCCTGTTGAGACAGGGCCAGCCCTATGGACAGTACTGCTTCTGATCCCAGCTCAGTCACCACAGGTAAGACCATTAACCCCTCAGTGTCTAAAAGGCCCCTCTCTACCAATAGGAATCACAAATGAGTTTCCTACTCTAGGACCTTAGACCTCGAGCTACAAGGGCCCTTGGAGGCCATTTAATTGGGGATGCCCTGATTTTACAAAAAAGGAAACTAGGCCCAGATTGGGGATGCAACCTGCCCAACTTCACCCAAGTACTGGTGGATCAGAATTTGAATTCATGTCCTCCTAATCAAGAGGAAATTAACTTTCCATTGTACATACAATTCTGCCTCCAGTAATGAAATTGTAGTTCGGGAGCTTGTTTCTTTCTTGGTGACGGGTTGAGGTGGGGAGGAATTGACTTTCTTTCAACTACTATGGTGTGACTTTAATTACAAACTTTTTGTGGGCTTACAAATAATAGGTGTCTCTTGTGTCTTTAAGGAGGATTTGGGGAACTACATCCCACAATCAGTCTGATAGCTTTTGGAGTTGGCACTAATTAGTCGGTCAGTCATTGACCAGTCCACATAGTTTCACCTACTGTCTTGCTAGACACAGTCAGAGCTGGGGATGGGGGGGAGTAGGGGTGTGTGTGGCAGCAGGAAGTGGAGGAGAGGAGAGCTGAGAATGAAAGAACCTGTTTTCCAGGTGTAATTAAGGAACCCAGGCTTGAGAACATTTAGTACCTCCTCATACATCCATGATCTGTGTTTATATACAGACAGACTCTGGAAGAAGAACATACTGTATGTGGTTTGATTGGAAAAGGAGTGGAGATGGAGAAGAAAGGGGAAGGATCTTTTGTACACTGCACATTAAAACATATTATTCACAAACCTTAATATTGGAAGAAAGAACATCTTTTAGGCTTTTGTTCTGCATGACCTCAGCCACAGTAATTTTCTAAAGTCAAGTAACTGCTGGTTTGTTTTGTGGGGGCTAAGGTGGAGGGGGGGAGTAACAAACCTTGAGGAGCTATATAAATACTAGCCACCACTACCACCTTCATCATCACCATCGTCATCATCATTCACTATCTTATATATTGAATATAATAGCAATCCAGTTTAAAGAATAGACAGCCAGCCTGGAAACCAAGAAGACCTAGTTTCAAGAGCTGCCTCTGACCCATCCTGGCTGTGTGACCCTGGGTCAGTCATTTAACTTCTCTTGCCCCCAGGCAACTCTCTAAGACTCTAAATGACAGAGAAGGTGCCTAGCTGTATTGGTGGAGAGAGATTACTTACCAGGGAGTTCCCTGTACCAACGAAATCACAGATCTCTATCTCTGTCTCTCTGTCTCTCTCTCTCTCTCTCTCTGTCTCTCTCTCTCTCTCTCTCTCTCTCTCTCTCTCTCTCTCTCTCTCTCTGTGTGTGTGTGTCTCTCTCTCCCTCCCTCCCTCCCTCCCTTCCTCTTTCCATTTTTGTTTCTTTCCTCCTCAGCCCTACCTCATCATGCTACTTCTCTCTGCGTATTTATAAGCTCAGACCATGCCTGGACTGCAGCTTTCCAAGGAAATCTTTCCTGCTCCGTGCTCCCGATTTTTTCAAATGATTTTTTTTTCCTTACGGTCAGCAACCAGAAGTTAAACGTGGGTTTAAAGCGTTCATAGCAGACATTTTACAAAGCAGAAACTGGCCGGAACTCAACCTTTGAAATCTCCTGGGTATCACAGGTTCACCTTTGTCTCAGTCTGTTGCCTCACCAGGCCCCTTGGGTGCTTCCTCTACGAAAAGCAGATCTCTGCGGGCTGACTGCTGTTGGCCCGCCCATGCAACGTCCCCGACGGAGCTCAGCCTCAGAGAGCACAGCAAAGGAATGGGCCATCACTTTTGGGAAAAGCCATCGGTCTTGTGCACAGCCGAGGCACTGACAGTCCCCAGCTGGAGTCTAACCACACCGTTTCATAATCTCCCCCTTCCGCCTCCTCCGCGGGTCTCCACCACCCGCCACAGAGCTTCCTCCCTTCCCAGGGATTTGGGATGAGACAGGAAGGTTGGTAAGAAGTCTAGGGGAGGAGTCCCTTCCCTCTGACATTGCCTGCACCTCTGGGGTGCTGGACTGACTGCACCAAGATTGGGGGACTTCAGGCTATGGTAGGATACTCGAGTCCCGAGGCCACTCATTACACCGCCCTGACCCCACGTCGGGGCGCTGGGGAAAGGAGCTTCGTGCAGGATTATGTGCCCCCTATCCTTCCCTAACTGCTTCCCCTCCTCCTTCCCTGACGCAGCCCTAACCATCTCACCATTCCCCGGTAATCGTGATGATAAAAGGAGTAAACCAAAATGTTCCCTCCCACCCCAACTCCAGCTTGGGTGGCCGCTACCAGCAGCTCTTTCCTCCATCGCATTTAACACCTAGACTGACGCTTCTTTCCCGGAGGTGAGGGGAGGAGTATTTAAGGTGATTCGGCTTTTTAAAGGGCAGACATAAAGGAAAACGAGGTCGTCCTCCTACGGGAAATAAAAGGTGGGGCTCCATTCTTTCCCCGGTAACAAGACTTAGCTTTCATGTCTTCAATCCCTAGTTTTGCAAATCCCTTTTATGAGAAACATTCCACAAAAACATACACTCAATGCATGCATACAAGCAAAGAAAAGTGAAAATACAGAAACTGACATCCCGACCCGTGGGGATAAAATCACAGTAGGGGTTCAGGACGGCTGGATATTTGTTACCTCAGCTTGGGGGGACAGGGACCGCGCCTTTCCTTTCACTGACGCAGACCGCTTGCTCTAGAATACAGCTCAGCACTTTGCCAGCACCGCCAGTATATGGCAAAGGCTGGGCTCGAACCCAGCTCCCTACTACGCCACACTGCCTCTCTCCACGTCCTACGTTACATTCGGATCATATATTTGTATGTTGTACGCTGTACAAAACAGAATAGTCCTGGCCGGTCCATCACTGGGTGGGTTGTAGCCTATAAGGTGTCAACTATCTTCCCCCCTTTTTTTTTTCTAAATCAGTCTATGTGGCCCATGAAACTCTTTTCGATGGAAATCTTCCGTTCTCTTGGGGTGAGGTGGGGGGAACGGCAGATGAGCAATGTTTCATTTCGGTCTAACCAATTTTTTGGTTGTCAGACCTGATTGCTGTAGGGGTCAGCTTTGCTTAACTTTTTTTTTTCCTTGTTATCCAGGAAAGGGACTTCAACCCCAGTCTAGGAAATTAATTAATTAATTAATAATAATAAATAACTAATAATAACAGAATGAAGATAATGACAATATCTGGCAAGTATATGGCACTTTCCCCTTACTAGCTGTGTGACCCTAGGTACGTTACTTAAACTCTGGGCTTCAGTTTTACCATCTGCAAAATGAGGGAGTTGGATTGGATGACCTGTGAGTTCCCTTCCAGATCTAAAGCTATGTATGGTCCTATGATCCCATTGTGGAATAACCACAATGGAAAAAAACAAAAAGCAAGCAAATAGTTGCGGCTGTTTGTGTGCTTGTGTTATTTCCACTTGCAAAGTAAGAATGAGGAATCGAAGATCCCTGGCAAGGGGTAACCACCGTAGCCTCGCTCCCCGACAGCAATTGGGGGGAGTCACCCTCTCCCAGCCTTCGGGGCTAGCAGAAGGCGGACAGAGGGCGGAAAGAGACTAGGTGCTGGGTCAGAGCGTGCTCGGCTAAGCATCCTATTAGAGAATTTTCCTGGACGGCATTTCCTCTAGTAAACTTAACCCCCTCTGAAGCTCGCCCTAGGGTAGGTACAAACCATTGGTCTTTGTGGGGGTCTGCGTGCAACTGGAAAAACAGACAGTTACTACCTACAGATTGCTTCGAGATTACACGCCCGTGGTGGGAGTGCGAGAGCTGCAACCCTTGCGGAGTATATATACTTAGGGCGTGTAAATGGAATAGGATGGGGACTCACTCGAGTATGAGTGGGGGGGAGGGAAGGTGAAACGAGGGAGGGGGTGGGAAGGAGAGGATCACGGTGAGCATGCGCGTCCTCTGTTCTTAGACTTTCTAAAGGAAACCCGTAGAAAGCAGCACAGGTGTTTCCGCGTGGAGCACGGTCCTGGGTCCGAGTCCCTGCAGTATCTAACATCCACACGGGGGTGTTTTAATGAACCGATCTCCTTACTTTGTGATTCTGGTAGGAGGTCACAGCGATAAACGCCGTCTCTGGGAAGACGTGGGTGCAGAAGGCTGTGTTTTTCGATCCAAATCCATTATTTTCGTCTGCTTTTACGATGTGCAGTCTAGGCTGGTATTTGTGCATAGAATTCAGTATAATCTAAAGACAAATTTTAAAAAAAGAAAAAGAATAAAAAATCCAGGCCGCATCAGAAAGCATTGCTACGAATCACTGAAGACAACCTTTGGCAAAATACTAACAATAACAATTCATAAATTGTGTATTTGGTTGTTGGGGGTCTTTTTAACGTGGAAAAAAACAAATAGGTTAATGGAAAAAATTTATTTTTCTTTCCAAATGGCATTTTTCACCAGAAATATCCTGGACAATGTTGAGGGAATATACCCAAAGGCATACACAACAGTAAATCAGGATACTTAATAAATGCTGCTCGATAAATTAACTCCCGGCTCACAGAACCTTAAATAACCACTATGATAGTCAGCTCCCATGATTCCTTCTGGGAGGAAACAGGGATGGCAACCTGGGAACTGAACGTGGAAGGAAAAGGGAACAGAGGAGTCTAGATGGGGCCTGGTGAACGGAACTTGAGACTTGGAGGTACTATTCACAGTTTGGTCCCCAGACTACCTGGTGGGGGTTGGGAATGATTTCCCTAGTGTCCACACTATGAGAGATGAAGTCCTTTGTTCAAAGTACTGAAAGTCAGAGAAAGCAGGGGAAATGGAAAAGTCTAGTAGGGTTGGGAAGGAGGAAAACAAAACACTTTTCCGCACCATTGATTTGAATTCTAGGATGATGTTCTCTAGAAAGTAAAACCCTATGGTTGATTTTTAAATTTCACCTAAGAGGTTTTTTTTTCCATATTGTATTAAATTTTTACTTATTTTGTGAAACATTTCTCAATTACATTTTAATCTGGTTCTGCAACATTTGCTCTCATGCTGTCCATAGGCCTGAGTTCGACACCTTTGGTAGTGGGTTTGGAGTCAGTAAGACCCAGGTTCAAATCCTCCCGAAGCGATTTTAAATAACCATTGCAGCACCTAACTTTATAAGTTTCCTGTACAGTTCCTCAAGCACAGCTGGAATACCCCTGGACCTAGATAGAGAACAAATTGTCTGTCTTTTCACGTTAGAATGATTATGTTCGCTCCCTCCGCTTGCATTTCTTTATTCGGGCTGGGTTTTGAAGTGGCGTCTCATTATTACCCTGTTTCATTTCATTTCCTAGACTTCTCCCTTCTGAAGCCAGTGACTGATGGGAAGAGGTCAGGTCAGTATATTAGAAATGAATAAACTCATAAAAGCAAACTTATTTTTAGCATTCCTATAAAAAAAGCATTCATTAAAACATCATTGAGGGCACTTTTAATGCTGATGTTGTTTAAAAAAATAAATACCATGATCAATATGTTAATAATAACAACAACAATGTAGTGACTAGAAAGCTGGTCTTAGATCCAGGAAGATCTGGATTCAAATCCCACCTCTGATATTTCCTGGCTTTGTGACCCCGGACAAATCACTCAGCTCTCATTATCCCCAGGCCACTCTGTTGCCCTAAATCTGGAAAAGGATAAGCAAACCCACACTATCAAAATACATTTCACCCCATTCTGACTTCCCCATTAGAAAGTAAGCTCTTTGAGGGCAGGGTGTGTTTGCTTGCCTGAATTTGTATCCTGGGGACTTTGTTTAGCTCCTGGGACAGATATACTAATTGATAAGAGCTTTTTGAATTACAGGTGCCAAAATCCACTAATGTGGGGAGTTTCCTCCCCAGGAGATATTCTTACACAGCTGCAACCAAAATGATAGCAACTGATCTTTGATGGTGCATTAAGGTTTGCAAAGCACTTTACCTATAGTATTTCATTTAATTTTCACTACAAACCTATGAGTTCAATCCTCTCCCGGTACTATTATTCTCTGTTTTACAGAAGAGTTTGTGGGGATCACTGTTCATGCTCCCTCCCAAAGTATGAATGAAGAAAGTGTTTCTAATTCTCTTTCTAAGAGAATGGTTTTTAAAATAGACTGGCTGGGTAGTAACAGTAGAAAAGGAAGAGGAGGAAGAGGAGGAAAAGATCTGGGGAAAAAGAGGAAGGAGGAAGACAAAGGCGGTAGAGATCTCCTCCCGGCCTTCCTTTGGGGATGGGAGTGGGCCCAGTGAAAGGCGGGGAGGGGCCAGCAGTGGCCTGGGATGCCGCAGATGCCCTGGACTCCTGGGCCTCGGTCTAATGTCGGGAAGTGGCCGCCGGCCTGCCTGCCTCCCTCCCTCCCTCTCTTCCCGGCCCGATGGCGACGCGGAGCCGGGCGCCCTGGCGACCGACCGAGAGACGCAGCTGGGCGCACGAGGCCCGCCGAAGCCCCCAGGCCGGCGCTGCCATCGCCCCGGCTTAACCAAATTGCTTTGACATCCAAGGGCAGTCGCTGGCCATCAACGGGGGAACGATCTAATGGCCTTTAATTTCATTAGGGTGGCCCCCTACTGGGGGCCCAAGCCGCAGCTGGGGTTCTGGGAGCCAGCAAAGACTCGGGGGCCGTGGGCAGCTCTGAGTTTCCACTAACTGGAGAGGAGAGGCGCGGAGACCGGCGCTGCGGAGAATCCACGCGTGCATCTGAGGCGCTTAGGGGTAGACAGTAAATCCCATGCCGCCGAGATTCCCGGGGACCGAACCTAGAATGAGGGGAGCCCCAAGAGGTAGAGGAGTCTGGGGCCCTAGGATCCCAAGCCAAGGGCCTGGAAGAGCACAACTAACTTTGGAGCCCCCAAACCTGAGATCGATGCCCCTCTGCCTCACCCTGAGTGACACTGTACAGATTAGTTCCCTCTGTGGATCTCACAAAATGCAGGAGGAAAGGGATGACTTTTAATGTCCCTTCCACCAAGGCATATTTTCCTGGTGAGCAAGAGGTTGCTGCTAACCCAGGAACCCTGTTTGGAGTGGCCTGGAGGCTGTCAAATGAGCACAGCCTGAGCAAAACGTGCTTCAGAAAAGCAGATAGGGGTGGGGGAGTTGTTGAGAGATGCTCCCTCATCACACAGTAAATATTTTGCTTCCAGGGAAACACAGGGAGGGAGGGGGAGAGACACTGGGGCTCACAGGCTGGAAGTACATACAAATAAGCCCTAGTACAAGTCCAGATTCAAGCAATCAGTCCAGTGACCTACATGCATGCAAATATGTCTATGAATTAGATCATGCACACATATTACATAACATGTGTACACATATTTAGGCCAGTGTGTCCCTCCTGAGGAAAAACAAACAAATAAACAAACAAACAAACAAAAACAAATATGGTGTCACAGAGTGCTGGGGCTGAGCCAGGAGTTCAAATCTGGCCTCTGACACTTGCTAGCCATGTGAACCCTGGCAAGTCACTTCACCCTGTTTGCCTCTGTTTCCTCATCTGTAAAATGGGGATAATAACTGCACCCATCTTCCAGGATTGTTGTGAGGATCAAAAGAGATCATAATTGCAATGTCCTTAGCACAGTGCCTGGCACATAGTAAGCACTATATATATATAACTATTATTGTTATTATTTATAGGATCTAAAGTTGGAAGGGACTTCAGAGGTGATCATTCAGCATCTACTCCACCCCCATTTTACACATGAAGAAACTGAAGGGCAGAGAAATGACTTGCCCATGGTCACACAGCCAATAAGTAGCAGAGCGGGGATCTACCACTTGACTCAAAAGCATGTGCTCTTTACAATATTCCTTCCCCATCAGCCTTGGGAGGGGATGGGGGATGGAGGTGAGTTTTACTCCCCTTCTTCTAAGCTTCCTTCCCAATGCCCTTACAGTTTTCATTGTCCCAATATGGCCATTTTGTTTCTTAGAGGGCCCCACATCCCAGAATACATAGGTCTCACTCTCCTGGGAGAGCAAATGAACAAGACTGTGGGACCACATTTGGAAGGTCAAGATTTTAAGTGAGACACCTCACCCAAACCCCATTAAACTCCCTCCTTCCTTCCTAGGCCCCAGTGAATTCAGTTCAGGCCTTCAGGCCCTAACTACATTAGTCTCCTCCCCGGACATGAATAACAGTTCACAGGACTTTTTAAGAGTTCAAATAATCTTAAACATGATGGAGGTCCCAGAATTAGCCCTTTCCCACACCCTTGCTCAGGTGGAAGCTGTGACCTGCACATACCTCCCTGAGTTTTACAGAGATTCAAGGACTTCTGGATCATTTTTATCACATGGTAGATCCATTTAATTCACTTTGGGGGGCGGAGTGTAGAGAAATGAAGTAGGAAGGCTGGACAGGGCTTAGCTCCAACACATCCTTCTACACAAAGCCTTTCCTGATGTCCCCAGCTACTAGTGCCTCCCCCTCTCTGGTTACCTTCTACTCTGTTAGAAAATTTTGAGCTGGAAAGGACGGACCTTAGAGGCCATAAATCATAACTGTTAATAACAATAATAGCTAAGATTTCTATGATACTATGTGCCAGGCATCGTGCTAAGCGCTTCATAATTATGATTGCATTTGATCGTCACAATAATCCTGGGGGTTAGGGGTTATTATTATCCCCACTTTGCTGATGAGGAAACTGAGGCAAATAGAAGTGACTTGCCTAGGGTCACACAGCTAGTAAGTGTCAGAGGTGGGATTTGGATTCACTTCTTCCTGACTCTAGGCTATCCACTTTGCCACCTACCTGCTCTTCATTTTACATGAGTAAACTGAGGCACAGAGATGTTAAGTGATTTGTCCATTGACACACAGGCTGGTAAGTGTCTTAGGCAGTAATATAAGCTAGGTCTTCCTCGTTCCCAGTCTAGCATTTTACCTACTACACCCTTAAACATTTTATATAAAAGGCTTTAAAAAATCTTAAGTGCTACTACATAAATGTCCATTATTATTATTAAGACACCATACTATCAGTATGGGCCTATGACTTCTTGGTGTGGGGAATTCCCACAGTGAAGGCTTCCTTCATACATGTAAATCAGCTAACTGTCAGGACTTTTTGACCTCAGGAACCCTTACAATTAGAATTGAGGAACCCCGTTACTAAGGAAGTGTTGTGTATATGGTTATGTGTATTGATAGCTACCATATTGTACATTATAATGTTGTAATATTATTATGAAACTAGTTTTGACCTCAAGGATTCCTGAAAGGGTCTTGGAGACTCCTAGAGAGAGGTGCCTAGGGTCAGCAGGGATTAAGTGACTTAATCATATAGCTAGCATAAATTAGAAGTAGTATTTGAACCAATATATACTATGCCTTGCTGCCTATAATTTCTGTCTTTGTTGTTAACATCATTATCATCATCTCCACAGCAAGTCAGGACCCTTATACCTCATCTGGAACTTGCTTCCATCCTATCAGAAGTGCTTGCTGACATCATACATTATAACTCTCTGTTTAATGTCTTATCCACTACTCAAATGGGAGGACTAAGAGGAGAAGAACCTGGTTGTTGATAAACTTAGTATCTCTCTCCCCCCAGCAACCAGAATAGGAGTCTTCAAAAATAAATGCTTAGTAAATATTTGTGGGTTGTGGGGCAGCTAGGTGGCCCATTGGATAGAGCACCCGCCCTGCATTCAGGAGGACCTGAGCTCAAATTCAGCATCAGACACATAACACTTTCTAGCTGTGTGACCCTGGGCAAGTCACTTAACCCCATTGCCTAACCAAAATATATACATATGTGTGTGTGTGTGTGTGTGTGTGTGTGTGCGCGCGCGCGCATGTATTTGTTGGTTGACTGTCCGAGCCTCCTGTTTGCACCAGGAGACAAAAGGGGCATAACCCTTGCCTTTGAGGAGGTGACATTCTAGTGGGTCTGGGTCTTGTACCTGTCTTTGGACTCCAAGCCAATTATGGTTAGTTAAAGGTTCAGCCTGGCCCAGGTGACTTGACCCCTGTTCTTTGATGAATCAGCATACCAAAAAAACTGGCAGGTCCCTCCTTTTTCCCCAGGATCCCTGTGACCCAGGCCAAACACATTAGTTGGGGTCTATGTTTGGGACAGGACTGAGACAGGGCATTGCTGCCCAAGTCAGCAGGTCATTTCTGTTATTTGCCAATCTCTCTAGACCACCCATCACCCACAGAGGGGCCAACCTGGGGGATGCTAGGAGGAATATAGATACAGTGTCATCTTGGGTAAGGGTACCCAGGCTGAGCCCTGACTCAATGCCCTACTCAGCAGTGTAAAGCTTGGATTTACAAAACCAGAAAGGAGATTGTCATAGGAGATAAGGATGGAAGAAGAAAGAGTTGGTGGAGATGGGGGAGGGACGCAATATAGGACAAAGGTAGAAAGGGAAGAAAATAGAAAAGGAAAAAGGGAGGAAGAAGGTAAGGAAGTTAGAGAAGAAGGAATAGATAAGAAAGTGAGGGAGAAGAAAAGAAGGAAGAGAAGGGGAAGAAAAAAGTAGGAATAAGAGGAGAATATGAAAGAAGAGAAGGAGGACAAGGAAGAAGGAATGTTGAGGCTGGAGGAAGGGAAGAAGTAGAAGACATAGGACACCAGGCACCTGGTACTCACATGTCCAAATGGGTCCAGATGGTTATTGGTAAGCTTCAGTTTCTGAAAGGAGACCAGCTGCCGCATCCAGTGGGCACCTGTTGCTGGAGAGTCTGGGTGCACATACAGCCGTCCAGGCATAGCAGGTTCTGCTTTCCCAGTCACAGACCTAGCCCCAAAGGAAATTCCAGTCCACTAAGTCCAACGACTAAGGAGCCTAATGGCCCAGCCTGATCCAGCCCACCAAGTGAACCTGGCCAGCCACAAGCTCAAAGCAGAAAACTGTTTTACCCTACAGAAAGGTGGCCTTCTGCTTCTCATCCAGAAATGTTTTTCTTCTTCTTCTTCTTCTTCTTCTTCTTTTTGTTTCCTTTAAGTTACTATGGCTCTAATATAATCCCTCTCCTGCAACCTTTATGATGCACTGCCAGGGCCCCAGCATCTCCTGGGGGAGCCCCATTTTGCATCCATCCAGGGCTTCATTTTTTCTTGTCTCCCACTGTTGTCTTTCTTTCATTTCCAGGACCCTTAGATTCACCTGGGCCACAATGCCACCACAATCCAATCACCAAAGATCTGAAATAAGAGCCAGAAATCCCTTCCAGGGATTTTCAAGCACTCTGAAGACTATTTTCTCTCATCCCAGGAAAAAAGCCCCTAGGTCTCTTCTGTCATTTCTGGCTTCACCTAGCCCTTCAGCTCACTTAAATGCCAAGTCAGTGGTTTAATAAAAGGTATGTTCAAAGCAGGTAACTCATTAAAAAATAGTAAATAGCTTTGTGCAGACATTATGCTAAGAAATACCTCTTTCACATAGGAACATTAGATAGTCATCCCAGCTAATGCTCAGTAGGTAGGGCAGCATATCTGGGAATAATGGGGTAGGCCTGGAATTCTCTGTCTACATATCTTCTTCTCCCCTCCCCCAGATGCCTACCATTTATTATCTGCAAATTTGTATCTGTGGTCGTCAGCTGGTACAATATCCATGAGCAGGATGTACTTCGTTTTGGGATTCAGTCCAGTGACCTTGACTTTGTAACTGGGGAACATACGCCTAGAGAGAGGGTAGGGAAGGGAGAAGAGAAGGAGGGAGGTGGGGGAAAGGAGGGACAGAAGGGGGGGCACATAGGAAAAGGGAGAGATGGAGGGAAGTGAAGGATGCCAGGCAGAGACAGTAAACAGAGTAACAGAGAGAAAAGACAGGGCAATAGAGAGATAGAAACAAAGAGACAGAGGAGAGAGACAGAAGAGAGACAAATGGAAGAGGAGGAAAAGAAGAAGAGAAGGGGGAGGAAGAGAAAAGGGGAGAGGAGGAAGAAGAAGAAGGAGGAGGAGCAGAAAGAAGAGAGAGAAGAAAGGGGAGGAGGAGGGAAAGAGTAATAAAAGACAAAAGGAAGGGAGGAAAAGGAGGTTTCCAGGAGACAAGAAAGAGAGAGAAAAGGAGGATTGGAGGGAGAAAAGGAGGAGGAGAAAGAGATGGGGAGAAGACAGAATAACTGATTAATACTAATATGGAGATCAGAGATCTTGCTCCACCTGGTGCAGCAGAAGAAGGGATTGATCCAGGGGGAAAGCCTGATTTCCAACTCCACACCAGGGTTGATCCAGCCCAGGTTTTCCTGCCTATTTTGAGCACAGGGATGGAGGCGGGGGCCAGATACAGAGGAGGTGTAGTGGGAGAGAGCGACAGTGCAATCTTGAAGAAGAAAAAGGAGGACTTGCTCTTTTTGTTCACTTATTTGGAATGTAGAAAGTTCACCACCACCACTACTACCTCTCTGCTCTCTCTCCTCTCCTCTCCCTCTCCCCCCCCCTCTCTCTCACACACACACACACACACACACACACACACCACACTTTCCCCTCCCCCTCCATTTCAACTCATCAACTCCACCTAAATTTAGTTCCCAGAGGCAGGTCTTTTAGTAGAAAGCGAAGGAGGAAGCTCACTCCATAATAACGTCTACTCTTTGAGTTGTTATTGTTGGTGGTGATAACCGTCTGGGCATGCACATGTGCACACAGGATCCTGTGGAGACCCCGGAAACACACGTGCACTCAAGGATCTCGTGGAGATCCCAGGAGATACACATATGCCCACAGCCCAAGGGAACTTGCAGATGACTAATCCTGCCCCCACCCCCACCATACATATCCATGCACTTAGACACTGGGGCAGCAGGCCTGCTCCCCACCGGTGCTGGGGAGAAAGGAAGGAAAGTAGAAGTGTTTATTAAGCTCTCACTGTTTGTCAAGGGCTTTGCAAACTTGATCTCATTTGATTACCTTTATCATCTCCTGATTTTGAAACTGATTCTGCCATTTGCCTCTTCTCCTTCCTTCCTCATCTCTCCCTTCTTCCCTTTCTCTCCTTTTCTTCCTTCCCTTTTCTTCCTTTTCTTTCTCCTTTCTCTCTCTCTCTCTCTCTCTCTCTCTCTCTCTCTCTCTCTCTCTCTCTCTCTCTCTGCTTGTCTCCTCTCTTTTCTTCCCTTTTTCCACATCCTTTTTCTTTTTTCTTCTTTTTTGCCCCCTTCTCTTCCACCTCTAACCCCTGCACCCATTCCAATGGCATCTAACCTACTTGGACTCCATCAAGGGGAGGGAGGGAATCAAATCGAAAACAGCATCCCCTTTGGAGATGATAACAAGAGCTCTCTGGCCTTCTATCTAGAGTCAGGCTTCAGTGAGTGCTGCCCTGCAGAAAACCAGGCACTGGGGGTCGGCAGCAGCATCCTTGGGATGACCGGTTTCAGTTGCCTGAGAAAGGAGCCTGGTTGGTGCTGCTTCCCAAAGGCAGGGAGGCAAGATGGGGAAGTGGGGGTGGCAAGCATTTAAAGCTAAGCTTGTGGGGGGACCTTCCCCACCCCGCAGCTTCCTTCCAAGGTAACCAGAGTCTCCCTGTGTTTATTTGCAATGGTTTGTCTAAAAATCTTAGTGTCTAGGGGTGGTTTGCAATCCTTTTATAGTGAAATCTTTCCAGGAGACTACGCTGGGCCCGCGGCCTTAGCTTCCAAAACGGAATAGGAGGAAAGTCTGCCTTTTTTTCCCCTTTCTATTTTACTGTAAACAGACCGGTAATATATCACTCGGGCCCTTCGGCGTGGCGGGGACAGAGACATTGTTTAATTCCAAATAATAATAAATGTCAAATTTCTCCCAGTTTACTGGGGAAAGGCGGGGGGGGGGCGATGTTGAAGACGTCCTTCCCCTCTAAGCCAGGGTCTGTAGGTCCTCAGGCCTTGGGCCTGCAAGGGTTGGGAGGGGGCAGATCCTTTTTTAAGACAGCCCCCAGTCCATTCACCACCTGGGCCTCGAGAAAAGGAGTGGGGATCACCGGCCAAAGTCGAAGGTGAGGGCACTGAAGGTAGGTTTCCTTAAATCACTCAGGCGGGGAGAATTCAGGGCACTCTGCACTCGGCTAGCCTCCTCCGCCAGGCGGGCTAACCTTCTCGCTCAGCCCTGAAGGGCTTTTAACAGCGACTCTGGGGTGAGTGTCTATTTGTGAGAGCTGCCGTGTTTATCTGTGTCTGTATAAAGAGCTCAGCAGAGCCCCGTCTACGTTTCAAAGGCTTCGACTGCTTCCTATAAACAATGAGAGAGGTAGCGAATACATTCAACATTCGGGATTTGGCAAACGGGTGAGACCCTGGAAGGATGCCAAGTTTGGGGGCAAGGAGTGGGGAGAGGAGCGAGAAAAATTTGGAGCTTGATTAAATGGAATCTCTCTCTCTCTCTCTCTCTCTCTCTCTCTCTCTCTCTCTCTCTCTCTCTCTCTCTCTCTCTCTCTCTCTTTCTCTCTCTCTCCCCTCCCCTCTCCCTCCCTCTGTCTCTCATTCTCTCCCATCTCTCTGTCTATCTTCTCCTCCCGTGTTTTTCTTCTCCCTATCTCTTTCTCTCCCATTCTCTCCCATCTTCCAGTCTTGTCTCTCTCTTTTCTTTGTCCCATTCTCTCCTCTCTTCCTCCATCCCTCCCTTTCTCCTCTTTCTCCATTTCTGTCCTGTCTTCATCTCTTCCCCCCTCTCTATCTTCTGTCTCACCTCGCTGGTTTTCTCAATCTCTCCTTCAATAATTTCCCCTCTCCCCCAATCCCATCTCTTCCCATTTTTCATTTGCATTCGTTTAGATCTCTCCTCTTTTCTCTCAATCTTTCTTCTTTCTCGCCTGCCTCCAGCCCACCAGTTTCTTCCCTCGCTGTCTTCTCTTCTGTCTCTCAGCCTCGCCTCTCTGCATCTCATTCTCTCAATCTCACCTCTCTCGATTTCTCTTTCCCCCACCCCACCTCCCTCTCTCTCTTTTCTCTCTTTCTCTCATTACTAATCCCTTAAGATATCATGCTCTCTGGAGCCCTTTCTTCTGTCTATATACGAGGTGGAAGAGGAGCCAAATTTCCGGAGATGAAGACTTGACTTTCCCTCCCCCTACTCCCCTCCTGTTTGTCTGAGATCAATGGATGAATTTTCACAGGGATTTTTTTTAAACAAGTACCTAGTCAAGAAATATATTTTTCCCTCTTATAAAAAGTGTCTCACGCTCCCCACCCCCCTTTCTCTCCTCATACAATTCACATTCGACTTCCTCTTTAAGACCAAGACAATGTCTTACCTTCCCGCTTTGGTGATGATCATTTCGGTCCCCACTTCATGAAATTTCAGCCACAGTTCTCGCTCGTGTAAAAACACTTTGATCCCCTCCATGCCCTGCAAGACAACAAGACGAATAAGGCCACAGAAAGTCACCATTGGAAACCAGCCCCCCCCCCCACCCCGCCCCAGTCGCTCTCCGCCTCAGTCCTGGAGTCCCAAAGGCAAAATGCTAAAGTTCAGCGCTCCCCCCCCCACCCAGCACCAGCATGGCTCTTTCTTACCCTTACCCCCAAGTCCCCGTCTTCTGTAGGCCTCTTTATCCGGGGCCTAGTCTCCATCCCCTGTCTACTGTGTAGAATGAATGATCCAGACTTCTCCACAGCCCGAGATGGGCGCCCCAGGAAGGTAGAGCAGAAAGCAGCCCCTCCCTCCTTCATCCGCTCCTTGTGTGATCTGGGCAAACCAGTGTGACAGACCAGGTTGGCGTCCTGGAGGTGGAGGCAGGGCGAAGAACCCTGTTTCTAGGCTGGTTTCCGTGGAATATGTTGCCGGAGCTATGAGAAATGGAGTGCCGGCCAGTAGGTGCTAGAATTAACTAGTCGGAGGGTGATACCAAAGGGAAGTAGGGGAAAGACTGACACAGAGCTAACGGAAGGACCGTTTCAAAAAAGAAAATGGAACTTAAAAAAAGACACACACACAAAGGGTTGCTTTTTAATGGAAACAGGTTTGTGTACAGACAATTTAAAAGTATATGCACACAGACACTCACCCATGTATATAAGGAGTCTCTGATCAGCTGAACTCCCCTCCATCCATTTAATGAAATTACAAGAGGTGGCCCCTTTCTGGCAAAAGTCTCTCCCCTAAAATTTCATCAAGTGGACTGGGGTAGGATTGAACTGATAAATCGTCTCCCTGATCAACACCCACACACACATACATATACATTTAATATACATATACATAAATACAAAAACATGCACACATACACGGAGAGAAGAAGGGGGTTCCTAACCAAAGTTCATTTAAGTATCTCCTTAAAATCCTTGGTTTCAAAAAGGAGTTTAAAAAAAGGAAAACGTTGCCAAGTTCACCTTGCAGGAATCTTGGATACAATCACAAGTTGGTGGTGTGGGGAGGTGGAATGAGGGAATGGAGGGTGGAAGAAATGCAATCTAGTAACTCAGACATTCTAGGTAAACTGTTTCCACAAAAAAGAAAAAAAGAAAAATTTGCTCTTTATACTGCCCTCTCCTTAGAAATTCTACCTACCCTTAGATAAAATTATGAGTAAGATTCACAGTGATCACCAACCGCTGTGAAAGCCCAGGGGTGCTCAGATAATGTTTCTACATTGGGAAAATTCTCATCACGCATGAAATACAGGGGCCTGCTCTGGCAGACTCACCCACCCGGCTCTATGGAAACCTATTTACCTCCTTGCTTCTGCAAAGAAAGAAATCAGTCTCTAAACAGGAAAAAAAAAATGAAGCTCTTCACATACATGTGAGTATATACATGGATAAATAAGCTTATATTTATCTGTGCATATACATATTCATGTAAATAGTTTTCTGCAATGGAGCCTGACTATAGTTTGAGGTCTTAATTTTAAAACTTCTACAATGTGAAACAAAATCTCTTTGAAATTTGCAACTGTAACTTATTACAAAAGATGGTTTCAAATTATTTTCAAATAAAAATAAATTCAACATCCAAATATGAGGAACTATTCTCTTCCCCTGCTGCATGCAAAAGCTGAAGCAGACATTGCAAAGAATATGTGTGTATTTATAGAGATACACAGAGGGAACCCTTCAAGGAAATAAAATTCACATTAATAAAAGGTTGTATAAAGCCAAGGCTCACATTAGCAGAGTTTATTCCACGTTCAGCATATGAGGCCCCTAAGAGAGAGAAAGGGAAAGAAGGAGAGACAGAGGGAGAGAGAGGGAGAGCCGGAGATGGAGAGAGGGAGACAGATGAGGAGAGAGGGAGAGAGAGAGAGAGAGAAAGGGAAAGAAGGAGGGAGAGGGACAGAGGGAGATGGAGAGAGGGAGGGAGATGGGGAGAGAGGGAGAGAGAGAGAGAGAGAGAGAGAGAGAGAGAGAGAGAGAGAGAGAGAGAGACAGATCTTGTCTAAGGAGATCTCTCTAAAACCCTGTCTGTTTCTTTCTAGTTTAAAAGGACAGAACAATACGTTTTCTTGTATTTACCCCAGGCGTTCTGGCTTAGTTTCCTTTTAAACGTTTAGGTTCAAGCGGAGCCAGATTAAGACAGGTCCTCACCGGTTTGTAGGTAAAAAACCTGGAAGAAGATCCCTGTTGCAGCGTGGGCGAGTCTCAGGTCAAATCCTTTCTTCAAATTCAAGATAAATGATTCCAAAAGCACATCTCTCCAGAGATTTAAAAAAAAAAAAGAGGAGAGGAGAACTGAGAGACATATACACAGAGAAAAAGACAGAGACACGGAGAGACAGGGAGGGAAGGAGGAGAGAGAATGAGATGAATAAGAATGAAAGAAAATAAAAAGCAGGAGGGGTGGAGAAAGCGAGAGCCTCGGAGAGGAAACGCTCTGAAGATCTGAGGAAGGGTCAAAACCATTTCTCAAAGCGTGTCTAGGAGTGAACGCTGACCTCGCGATTTAATGAGCTTTTCAGAGCCGCGTCTACACCCGCAAAGTGAAGCAGGGCATTATCCAGAGACCTCGGCTTGGTTTCCCTCCATATGGGTTGTTTCAAAAGGAAACTTTGGGGCCTCTATTACCTAACTGCTTTCTCGTTCTGATCACTGTGATTTTCTTGGCCTGAGGAAGCGCTAAAAATAAATAAATAAATAAACGAACCACGCCAAGCCCAGAAGCCATGGAAAGCTGTCTGGAGTTTCCCCTGTGGGTTTGATGGGGTTTAGGGAGAAATCCAGCCTCAAGTCTTTGCCCTGGGCTGATGCTCCCGGCTTGAAGGCTCCATGGGAGCTCCCAGAGCAAGCTTACCTGCTGGGTGAAAGCCGCCTGCGGGGACGCGGGGGCTTTGCTGCTGCTCCCCAGAGGGTTCTCCTGCTTGGCCTCGGGAGGCAGCTCCTTAGACTCGGCCTCCAAGGGCGTATGCGGGAGGCCAAAGGCTTCGTCGGCGTCCGCCATGGTCCGAGTTGCCCTCGCTGGGTCCTCCGCTGCAGCCACAGCCCAGGGGACAAGGGGGAGGGATGGAAGGAGGGAAGGAAAAAGGGAAAAATGGAAAATACTCAGACGGGTTGAAGGGAGTGGACTCAGGAAGGACTGACAGAGACGGGTCGGCCCCAGAGAGGTCTGCGCGGCCTGGCTCTCCAGCACCTACTCGCCTCTGCTCCAAACTAAATTGTCTTTGGTTTATTATAATTGTAATTATTATTACTGGGCACAATATCTTGTGAAATGCTGCGCGTCAGACAGAAGGAGCCGGGGAGCGACCTATCTGCGCCGCGATAAGCCAGCTGCTCGTCAAATTTGTCTGGACTTCTGGAAAGGCCAATAAAGATAAGAGTTCGGTATTTTGGGAAGCGCTTGGGTAGCACCCAAAAAAATCCAGCGCTCTTTTTTTTTTTCTAAACAAGATTGGCGGAGGCTGCCCTCCTTTGACTCCTCCTTCCGAATCTCTATCTGACTCCTTGGACTGCGTTTTTTCCCCCTCTCTGAACCAGCGACTGTCCCCCCTATATAACCCGCCTCTTGCAAAGAGAGAGAAAAAAGTGGGTCCAAGGCCGCGCCCGGCTTGAGTTCACCGATTTTCGGGCCTCCATCAAGGCTGACCCGAATTACGTTAACTATACCTAGAAGCCAGATATAAATAAAATATTTTCCTTCTCTTCGGTGGCCAGGAGCACTCCTGTAGCCAGCCTAAAAAGAGGGTCAAGTGGCCTTCGGAGCAAGAGCCTTTCGGTGGGAGATGAGTTTCTGTAGACCCTCGGCGCAGTGACCCCTAGGATCGCGGTATCACAGGACCATGGGCTTAAATCCTGAAGGCACCCCATTGACCGTTTAATTCAAATCTCTGATTTTACAGTGAAGGACAATAAGGCCCAGGGCCATACACGGTCCACCGAATACCTCTCCGATTTACGGGAATGGCCAAAGATTTAGTAGCACCCTTGAGCTCACACACAGGCGCGTAACCGCGCACATTCCAACCCGAGGCCTCTCAAGTCAGCCTCAGGAGGCTACTACGTGAGCGCAGGGTTCGAGGGCTGAGACTTGCCAAGAGGCTAAGATTCTCTGGGTGACTTCAAGAGATCAACGTCCAGGATTACCCGAACCCTAAAGGCCCACCCAGGCCAAAAAAAATAAATAAAATAAAGAAATAAAGAAATCGGACCCAGTGCACGATTTCGCTTGCTCCAGAACCTTGAGATTCCAAGCGGAGTGGGGCTGCAGAAAAGCGAACTGAGTGCAGGGCTTGGCGGCCTGCAGGACTAAGGAGCCAGCGGTGTCCTCGGTCCCGGATCTGAGATGAAGGTGGTCCTCTGTACAATCTCGGCGCAAAGACACCTGGAGAATCGCTTTATTCTTTCACCACCACTCCAATTCCTGACACCAAGGAAAAGGAAGACCTGGAGTTCCTACCCTGCCCAGTTACCAAGACATACCTAACCACTATGGCAGCATGAAGAATAAATAGGAATTTGGTCTCAGTCTAAGGAATAATAATTACATGAATAATGGCAATTAAATTATTAACTCCATCGAATATAAAGATGAGAATGAAATGTCATTCTCATTCACTCTCAAATATTAATGCAATAATAACTAATATTAATTTTACCAAAAAGCAATCATTCCACCCACCCGTGAAACATTCAAAATCAAAGAATAATAGTAGACGAGCTACTTGTCCTAGAGCTGCTTCTATGTGACCTCCATCAAGACAGATAAAAACGCGATGATGGAGACAGCAATGATTTTGACGAAGATATCTAACGCCACCACAACGCACTGGAAGGGACCCTGCGGGCTGCCGCAGTTTCCATAGCCTCCCATTATTGTTCATCCATTTTCAAAATCAGTGGAGATGGAGGAGACCTGAAGAGGAGGACAGGGAGGGAGCCAGGGAAGCCGGGGCCGAATCACAAGGCCAGCTTAACGCAAATCCCGGGAATTTTCAGGAGGTGCAGAAACCAAGACGTGGGAAAGCCATCCGAACTGGGCCGCTCCCCGCTACCGACACCAGCCATAACCTCTGTTTCTGCAGACTTTGGAACCCTGGGGTTCTCTATATGCAGAGACTAACTACCCTTGGCTTCAGCTAGGGGCCCTGGCTGTTCTATGAGAGAGCCGGGGACACTGCGGATTGTGGTACAGAGAATGGTCGGGGTCACAGAGAGGGAAGGCGGATGGAGAAGGGAAGGAAGGGCGCAGAAAGCCTGCAAAGTGATCACAACAAAAGAAATGAAGCCCGCTCTGGAAAGGAAGACGCTAGGTGATGAACAGGAGAGATCGTCGGAGAGAGGCGGAGAGAGATCAGCCTGACGATTAGCTGGGAGAGGGAGAGATCAGTCTGGAAACAGACCAGGGAGGCAGGGAAAGAACTGGCTGGAGAGGGAGAGATAAGCGAGTAGAGGGAGAGGCCAGAGGGGAGAGAGGGGGAAGCCAGCGAGGAGAGAGAGAGAGAGAGAGAGAGAGAGAGAGAGAGAGAGAGAGAGAGAGAGAGAGAGAGAGAGAGAGAGAGAGAGAAAGGCTAACCCGGAGAGGGAGACCCCACCGGGGCTTGGGGATGCGGGCTTGGTTTCCGCCGGCTTAGAGGGTTTCACCAACACAAATAAACAACGCACCCTTCGGCCTCAGAAAGCCCTATCCAAGCACGGCGGCAGCGGCGGCGAGGGCAGCAGGAGGGCGAGCTGGCGGGAGGGGCGGACATCAGCTCAAGCCCCATTTGCTCCGGAGCTCAGGGCAGGAAGGGACGAAGGATATGAGGCTTGACAGAACCAGGCCGAGGTCTGCCGGGGAGGCAAGCCGGCATCTGGTGCGGACTGGCACGCTAGGAGCAGCCGCTTCCTTGCCCTGTGCTCTGGATCCACGGGGGACAGAGATTAGAAGTTTGGGGGGTGGGATGGGGAAGTGAGGAAGGCGGCAGGGGTGGTCCTGGCTTCTCAAGCCTGGAGATGAGGCAGGATCCCCAGGCCCAGTCTCACTGGGATTCCCCACCCTTCGGTTGCTGGATCAGCCTTGAGCCCCCCACCCCCAACCAGCACAAAAAGAAACCAGGGAAATTCCTTTGCTCTCACCCCACCCAGCCTGACCCCAGCCAGCTGGCTCGCTAACCCAGGCAGACCCACAGACAGGCGGACGGGGGGTTAAGGGGTGGAGGGAGAGGGTCCTCGGGAAAGGCCCAGTAATTACCTTGTTTGTTGAAGTCGGTGCATTTAGCACCTCTCCTCCTCTTAGCAGGGAGATCGCCGATGAGGCGGGGGCGCGGGCATGGCCCGTTGTTTATTTACGTGTGGATTTGCTATATCAGTCTAGCTGTAAACTCAGCCAGAAAAGCTACACCCACGAATCTAACCACAACAGCGTCCCCACCCCACCCCCTACTCTCTCTCGCTCTCTCGCTCTCTCCCTCCTCTCTCCTCTCTCTTCTCCCCTCTCTCCTCTCTCTTCTCCTCTCCCTCCCTTTCTCTCTCTCCCTCTCTTTCTCTCTCTCCCTCTCCCTTTCTCCCTCTCTCCCCCTCCAAACTCCAAATACTTCTAGGCTTCTAAGGAGCACCAGAGTAGGAGAACAGAGGCAGCTCCAGCCCTCTTCCCACACACCGGCTCTCAAAGGAGCTAGATCTCAGAAGTCCTCATCCTCAACAAGAAGTTGGGGAAGGGTGGCAGGGCACAGTTAAGATGGGAAATTCCAAAGAGAGTGACCCCAGTTTCAAAGAAGTGGGTGCCCGGAGTAGGTTTCCGATCCTGGAGTACAATGTGTGCGGATGTGTCTGCCTCTTCACTCTCTTTCTCTGCCTCCAGAGAGCGGTGTGAGCTGGAGAAAACCGAAGCCGATTGAGGCTGAGTAGTGACGTGGGGTCGCCACAATTCCCCTGTAGTTTTATGATAGCCAGTCCAACTAAGGGTGATCCCGCTTCTCTCTGTCTTGTCCCTTGCTCTTCTCTCTCTCTTTCCCTCTCTCCCCCCTCTCTCCCCTTTCTCTGCTGCCTCTCTTTTCTTTCTCTCTCTTCTCCCTCGCTCTTCTCTCTCTCTCTCTCTCTCTCTCTCTCTCTCTCTCTCTCTCTCTCTCCCTTCTTTCTTCCCTGCCATCTCTCTTTCTATCCGATTTTTCTGGAACGCTAACCAGCGACCATCAGCAAAATGGCCAACCCCCAACTCCTTCCCTGCACCTACTTCATCCCTCTCCCCCAACTCGGAGAGGCAGGGGTTAAATCCTGAAAGCTTTGCAAACCCCACTTTCTTCTGCTTGGACCTTAAGATCACAAGTAGAACAGAGTATTCTACGGACATCACACACACACACACACACACAAACACACACACACACACACACACACACACACACACCCTACTTGACTTCGCAGCCTCCCGAATATTTTCAATTGTGACCTCGGCAAGCTAGCCCTGACCCCGGCGCAGCCAGGATAAAAGGGATGCCCAAAGCTGGGCCGAAATGACATCTCGCGGCTCCATAGCTCCATTCCACCCACCCCCGACCCTATTTCAGAGAGATGGGTAGAAGCCCGGGATCCTTAGAGAGATCAAAGGGGCAAAAATAGATCTGCCCACCCCTCCCTTCCCCGCAATCCGGGCCGCAGGGACGCCCGGAGGACTTCACTCAGAGATACAGTGTATACAAAACTCAGCGCCCAGTTATATTAAAATAATCAAACCGTCATCGTAGGCTGGAGTTTGTTTTCATCTCGGTTTCGCTTCTCTCCCTGCCCCCCCTTTCTCTTTTAAAATGTATTATTTTGAGGGTAAAGTTGAATAGGTCAAGAGAAGGGTAAACAGACGGTCTGTCGCATTCTCCCGTCTGAAGAGAAACAGATTGGAGGACGTATTTTTGATAAGACTTGGAATAAATGTCAGAGGCCTCGCCCTCTAGCCCTGGATTCTTCTCTTTCTTCTCTTCACTGGGCTCCTTTGCTTGGGCCCGGGACAGCCCCCGGACCTGGCTCGCGGAGTCTGAGCAGCCGGGGTTCCTGGCCTGGCTTGCAAGCCTGGGAAGACGGAGCTAGGCAATAGCGCAAGGTCCACAGGAAATGTAGGGGAGCAATCTGTCGGTGACCCGCTGCCCGCGAGCCTACCCTTCCCCCTTCCCATTCAAAGGCCGCGGAGGCAATTGTCTCAGAGCCTTAGAACTTGGAGATCCTCGGTCCCCAGGTCGCCTAGGAGGGGATGAAACTTTACCCAGAGTTTTGCTTAGGCTCCCGGGTAATTTTGGTTTGCTTTGATAATTGTTTAGCAGACCTTTAGAAAAGGTGCAAAGTCAAGTTGTTTGCTTTTAACGGCGCCCTAATTCTTCCAGGTTCCAGAGGCGAGATCAAAGCCAGTACACTTCGGTGCCATATAGAAAATAAAAACAAAAAACCAAGCAAAGGCAAAATAATACCTTCTCTCTCTCTCTCTCTCTCTCTCTCTCTCTCTCTCTCTCTCTCTCTCTCTCTCTCTCTCTCTCTCTCTCTCTCTCTTTCTCTGTGTGTGTGTGTGTGTGTGTGTGTGTTGTATGTGTGAAAGCAGCGTGTTCGTTTCTGGAGGGGAAAAAATAGAGAAAAAGCCTCCATCCCTCTAAACACTTGGGCGGGGGGTGTTTGAGGGACTCGAAATATCCTGACAGTAACTCTTTAGAGAAAGAAAAGAAAATGGGGCGCCCTTGTCATTTCTCCGCTTGGGCTAAATCTTTGTATTTTAGAGAGGCCCGAGAACCCTGGGCAGAGGGCAGGGCAAATGTAGACATGAAGTTCACAAATGCGATCTAGGTCCTCAAAATTGGAAAATAATTTTGTAACATTTTTTCCCGCAGCCTACCATCTCATAACACAAACCCAAGGAAATTGAATGTAATTTGGAAAAGAAAGAAGCCACACTAAATGATAATACAGAAAGGCGGAGGGGTAGGTGAGTAGTACAGATTTTGTAGTCTCGTGCCTAGGGTGAAGGCTATTTGAAATGAGAAGCTCCTTGTGATTAGAGACTTTCAGGGAAAGGACAACACTCACCTCAGAAACTCCCAGCTCTCCTCCTTCCCAGGGCCTTCAGGAGAAGTGGGGGATGTCAGTCAGCTCCGAGTATTTCCTTCAGTCAGAGAAGAGATTGGAAAAGAATCAAAAGGGCTCTTCTGAACAGGGATCTCTCAAGGTAAACAGCCTCCCAGTTAGAAGTCGATTTGTGGTCTCTGACAAATTAAATATTACTGTTTATTACCAGCCATACCCCAATAAAATAAAGAGAGAACAAGGCTATACCTACTATCTCACCAGCCCCTGCACCTATAGGACTCAGAGACGTCACCAGTCACGCAACTGCTCCCGCTGTCATGGTTGACTGGCGCTGCAAAGGAAGGTCAATTTCTTATTTGTCTTCTCCTATCAGTCAGGGATAGGGGTTCCCCTCTTGCAAGCCAAATCAGAAAGAGCGAAAAATGTTTCAAAAATAAATTTCAAGAAATATATATGCATATAGGGCTGTGCCAAGATGGGGTGGCAAACACTCCCGCCAAGCAGAAACTGGGTATGTGTCCTGGAAGGGAAAGAGAGAGGGAGAGAGGGAGGTGCCTTGGATGGGTGGGTGGGGGAATCTGCAGCACAGCTCAGCTCCTAACTGAAGAGAATATCAAGTCCGTGGTGTGGGAAGGAGTTTCTGGTAGCCCAATGGTAGGGTAAGGGAGATTTTATTTTTGGTAGTTATTATTACAAGCAGGAAAACTTGTCAAATGAATGTTGAGACACCTCTCTCCAGCTATATATAGTAAATGATAACTTGAGAGCTGGCAAGGATCTCAGTCTGCCTGAGAACGGAGGGAGAGTGGAGACAGAGAGACAGAGACCGAGAGACAAGGAGAGACGGAGACAGAGAGGACACAGAAAGGAGAGAGAAATGAAGAGACACCTACGTAGAGAAAGAGACATAGGCAAGAAGAGAGATAAAGGAGAGAGAGAGAGACAGAGACAGAGAGAGACAGAGACAGAGAGACAGAGACCCAGAGAGACATACAGAGAGACAGAGACTCAGAGAGACAGAGACTCAGAGAGACAGAGACAGACAGAGAGACAGAGACAGAGAGAAAGACAGAGAGAAAGGGAGACTAAGAATACAGTCATCCAGAGTACTTCTTGCCAAGACAAACTGAACCTCAGAGTTTTCCTTTACTTTTCTCTCCACCTCAAAAAGGGGCTGAAAATTCAGGAGCCCAGAGTTTGGGGGAGGGTGGAACGTAAGAAGGGGGGGTGTCTGGCACCGATGACAATTTCCAGCGGGGTGCGCCTTCAGTACTGCCGGAGTGCGCTGCGGGGTTTATGATCGCGGCTGTTATTAGGAGTATTAACCGTGCCCATAATGTTCTCTTTTTCACTCACTCCTAGCTCGGTGGCTGGCCTTTCTTCCACGCAACCAGAGGAGGAAAGATAGGAAACTGATCGAGGAGGGGAAAGCCCCTCCTGCAGCCTGGCGGAGGGAGGAGAAACCCCGGGAAGAGATCGGATGGAGGACCTCCAAAAAGGGTGAGTCTTTGGGACAGAGAGCGTGGGAGCCTGCGGAGGCTCTGACTTCTGACAAGTAGATTTCCTCAGAGGTAGGGACTCTTTATCTACCCCCTGCTCCAATCCAGTTTCCCTTCCCCTCCCAAAAAAGCAGCTGCAGAAGAGGGAAAGGGAGAGGCAGCGTGGGGAGAATCTCCAACCAGATGGGTCCCGTCCGCTTGGGTTGGAGTAAATTTGGATAGCTCAGCCGGAGCCTGTTCTCCGCTTGCCCTGCCGACCGGGTGGAGCCTGGGCTCTGAACAACACCTCGTTCAGACTGCTTGGAGGTTCGTTCGTAAGGCAGATTAATCTGCTCCAGCCCCAAGTTCTAATAGGCCCAAATGGGAGAGCTCAGGAGGCAGACTCGGTCTAGATTTCCCTCCCAATCCCAGGGACATAGCAGGCAGGAATACTGTAGCAACTGCGGTGTTCTCTTTTTCTCACCTGCCCAAGTGGACTTTTTACTTTTTACAAGCTGTCTCCCTAATCAGCATTATTTCTCCTCACTGACAGCATTCCATCAAGAGTCTTAACTTCGGCCCATTGTCCGCGAAGAAGACGAAGGGCCCTACCTGGTTCTATGACAGCCCAGTTCGTTGGATAGGAATGGCCCTTGGATTTTTCCAAGGGAGCACCGGTTCTGATTGGTGGGAAAACTTAATTTCTACCTTTGGGAACTCGGGATAGTCAGGAAACGGGATGGGAAGCCAACAAAGAGAGCAAAGGAGGGCTAATCCATTCCACTGGGAGGCTTCTTCTTTCTCCTTCTCTGACCTCTCCAGACCCAGTCGAAGGACAGGAAACACTCTCCGGCCTGGGCACCCCTCAGTCTTTCCCGCAGATCTCCCTAAGAAAACTCTCCCCATCCCAGAGCCGCATCCTAAAAGGAACCCAAAGGTCACGAAGATCGGCAGAGTGTCAAACGCCACCACTTCCCCCCGCTTTCACCTTGGCACATTTCAAAGAAATGGGCAAACTATGGCCTTCCAGCCGTGGACAGTGCTTCCAACCCATAGAAACTCAGGGCCTCTGACTTCTCCCCCAGCTCCCGCCCTGAGTCAAGGACACACCAGGACATTCTCCCTTCCCAGTCCCAAAAAATTGAGTCTCAAGCCTTGCTCTCTGCTTTGGGAAGGCAAAGCCTCTGCCTGGCTGAGGTCGATGATAGGGACTGAGTAGAAAGTTTAGAGAATTGTCCGGGTTGCTTCCGGAAGAGGCCCACCCCAAGACTCCTGATTCTTTACTGGCCTTTTCCAAGAAAGTCTTTCATGAGTTCTCTGGTTTCTTCGACTCCGATTCCCATTCTCTCTTTGCCTCTCTCTGTATCTGTCTATGTCTGTCTCTATCTTTCTTTGTTTTTTTCTTCTTTCTTCTCTTTCTTTTACCTTCTTTTCCTTTTTCATTTTAACTTTTCTTCCTACTACTTTACCTTTTCCCCGCTCTCTTTTGCCTCACCTTACGTTCTTTCCCTTTCTCATTTCCTTACTTTTCTTACTTTTTATATTTCTTTATCCCTTTTTCCTTCCTTTTTCCCCATCTTAATCTTTCTATCTTTCTGACTTTCTATCCTTTTTCTTCCTTCCTTCTTTTGTTGTCTATTTCTTTTCTTCCTCTTTCTATCTTTTACTCACTTCCTTTTTTATGTGCTTTCTCTCAGCATTTTTTCCTCTCTCCTATCTTCCCCTTTCCTCATCTCCAAACGACTAGGATTTTTTTTTTTTTTTTTACGCTCAAGAACTATCTCCTCTTTCCCAAGCCCCCCTCCACCACGATTTTTAAAAATAAGTTGGCTTGTTGCTGAGCGAATAAAACAATTAAGCTTCCACCAACTCACTTTTCTTTCTCCACTAACTCACTTTTCTTTCCCTGGCTCCGTGAGATTGTAATGTGAAACCCAGGAAGCCGGATTTTCCTTCCGTGCCCACGTCCTCCCGGTCCTATTCTTAGTGACAACTGACGCTTAGTCTCACTTCGTGGGCCTTCTGAATTCACTTGACTTATATTTTCTTTTTCCGGGCCAAACTATAGGCCTTGATACAAATGATGATGAAGAAGAAGATGATGAGGAAGAGGAGGAGGAGAGGGATAGCTATTGATTAAATATGACTTTTCCTAAATGTTTGATAGAGCTTTTCCTGGACTGTGGAAGGGAATTAAAACTCTGAAGGAGTAATATCCTAAGGCTGAGGAGAGAAAAGCCAAGATGGGCCGCTACATCGAAGCGGGGGAAAAAAGCAGCTAGGAGGGAGAAGGGGGATGTATGAGCATCAGGGACCAGACTAATACCTCCCTAGATCCTGGAAGACTGAACACCACCCCCTGGGAAGGAAGGTTGTAGTGTAGTGGGTGGGTTAGCGGTTGTTCTAAGCGCGAGCCCTGAATAATCTGCCAGGAGATGCCCCGCTGAGCCCGCCAAGCCGCTGGAATATGCCTCTAGTAATCACTCGAAGAAGACTTAAAGCCGAGCACGCCACAGGAAAGCTCCGCCGTCGAAGCCGCCAGGGTGTCTGCCTACACCCAAAAATGGCTAGCGAAGGCAGAGAATTGGGTTGGAATTGAGACCCAAGCTCCGAGCCTAGGGGTCCCAAGAAAATAGAGCCCTAGAGAAGTTACAACAGGACCCAAAGTTTTCTCCTTCTGTCCTCACACACCCGCAGCAGCTCTGGGAGAGACCTAACATCAAGGTGCCTGGAATTAGAAGACCTCGGGGCTCAGGGAAGCTGCTTTCTTCTCAGCTGATGGACCACTTGGCCCCGTCCCCTCCCTATGTCCTAGTTTCTCCTCTCCCAACTGAAAAAAGGCCTTGAAAAGGACGGATGCATAGTTTGATGGGATGTTCCTTAGACTTCAAATCAAGAGCATTCGAGTCTCACTTATTAGCTGTCTGACCTCTGACAAATTCTTTTAACCCCTCTGAGCCTCGGTTTCTTTCTCTTTGGAAATGACAGAAGTTGCACTAGCCGAGGACTGAGGTTCCTTTTCCCTAGGGCTGCGTCCTACACTCCAAGTACACACTTACCATAGGGCTCACAATAGGATGAGTCGTCAGCGCAGGCTATATACAGCCCATCCTTCCTCACCCAGCTCGCCTTACTGTCTGTTCACTCTAGAGACCCAGGCCCCAGACAGGATCCAATGGTCTAGACGAGGACGCAGGTTAGAATTCGCATCACATGCTACACCCAGTGTTTTATTAGATCTCTCCTCCGTCCACCTTTCCCTTCCCAAATTCTCACAGCCGGAAGTGAAGAGAGGAGAGGGGATGTTTGGGAATAATTCACCCCCTACCAAACTCTCCCAGCTTGACCTGGATATTCCAGCCAAAGAAGGAATCAGGCAAGTAGCAGCAACTTGGCGGCTTCGGAGCGGTCAGTCCCTAGCAGGCCCCTCACACGGCCCCCAGCGCCCATGAGTTTCCAAAGCTTACCAGTGAAGAGGGATCACAGTAAGAATGCTAAATCTGCAATGCAATCGGGGACACCTGGGTTTGGATTCCCCTCTCAGAGGCTCGCTCCGCTCCTCGGTTCCACGTCTGTGAAACGAAGGGGTTGAACTAGACCTGAGATTCTTAACCTTCTTTGTATCATGAGTCTCTCTAGCAGCCCATGAACCCTTCTCAGTATAGTGTTTTTAAATCATCGAAGGAAATGCTAAATTTCAGTTAGAGATTAGTAAAAATGAAGAAGTAACTCCCCCTCCTCCCCCCATTCAATCGAGTTCACCAATCCCTTGAAATCTGTCCCCAGGACTAAAAGCTTCTTTCCGACTGTAATTCTTCTATCTATGACATTAGGCAAGTCATTTCACTTCATCTCCTCGGGCTTCAGTTTCTTCATCCTTATAAAGAATGGGTTGGACTAGATGACCTTGGAGGTAAGTTTAGAGCTTCGGCTCCTCTGAATACTCTGGAAGCCCTAATCTGGAGCTGCCGAGACTGAGCGTCAGCCTGTCGGTGCGTAGGGCAGAACTCTATCTCCGGGCATCAGTCCTTCC